ATTAAAATGCTATTTTACAAAATATTTTGTTTTAAAAAAGCTTTCATTGTGTGGGCAAAAAGGAAAGAGGAAAGTCACTGCAGGCATTGTGCTGTCTAGACTCTCAAACAAAGAGGGTAGCGTGCCACCAATTAGGATGGTCCAGCCTGCCTGCTGACAAAAAGTAGGAATTTTGAGGCCAACTTCAAACAAACCCTTTTGAACAGAAGTATATTGTGGGTGGTGACTATATTTAGCACATGTCAGCATTTCCATAATAAATTCATATTGTTATGCCATGGTAATTTCCAGATTTACTGCAGCCAGTGGGTTCATGAGGTTTCAATTTTATGTTAATTATTTGGAGAAATTGGAAAACTCAGCAGTGCTATTTCTGATGACAGTACCGATTCTCTGGGCATTCTCCATATTGTGTCAAATACCCATAATGAGCCCTGCCTCCCAGGAGAGAAGAGAGTCAGCAAGAGTCATCTTGACTGCTTGTGTAACTTTTTTTTTTTTTTTTAAGAATACAGTATATTTTTATTTTTTCTTACCCTTGTTAAATCAATACATGCCACTGTAGAAAATTTAGAAAACATAACCATCCCGCAAACAAGAGAAAAAAATGAGCACTCGTGCTCTTGAACTTGTTGACATTTTAATTTATTTTCCTCTAATGTTTATTGTGCATATGCAACTTGTGTATGGGCAAGCACAATTCTTCAGAGAGAATTAAAAAACAACTGTATTTTACTCCCACCTCCCATGACATGTGTGCAGAGGAGTAGTTCTTCTTGACCTGGTTAAAAATACTGGGAGTTCCCTTCAGCAGATCATCAAATAGCATCATTCGTTAAACTTTGCTTTGTTAACAAGGAAAAAAGAAATATCCTGGCCTGCGTTGAACATTGTCCGAGGACTTACTGTATTTGCTTAAATAAATGCAAAGTCACTTAGATCATACAAGTTTTATGGTCCCTTGGAGTTGTGAGACACTGTCAAATTCAGAAGTTAGAGTTCCGTTCTATAATCATATGCATGATCAACACTTCGATTTTCACCTAAAGGTAAGAGATTTCCCAGCCCTCCAGTAAGTCTACTAGAAATGAGAATGCCTGTGATTGGGTTCTTCTTTCTTCTGCATTCACTTCCTCTCTAACATCTTAGTTTCTTTCTTGCTCCTCGGAGGGGGTAAGGGAAAAGAGATCGGTTACGGGAATGTTCTTCTCTTATGAGCACTGTCGTTAATGGGCTCTGTGCTATCATCAACTGGGAGGTATTGCCAGCGAGTAAGCTCCCTCAGAGATCCTTCTGGGACTCTCCACTTGTGTAAACCTCTCATTTGCAATATTTTGTCCTTGTTAATGCCTGTCCTAGTAGATTGCAGACTTGTCTCTTAATTCCTGACAAATCTAGTAAGTCGACTCAAGCTTCCTCATGCAGACTCCCTGTCTCCTTAGGTGACCATGCTGGGCAGGACGTAGGACACCCGGGACAGCTCTCTCACACATGAGCCCTGTGGGAAGAGACCTGTGGGCTCTAGCAGTGCTGATTAACCCCAACGCAACTGCCCCTTCACTTCTGCATGGCAGCGCCAGCTGGCCCCTCTCTCGCAGGCAAGACTCACCCTCATTCCGCTCTAACCCACTACCTCAGGGACATGCATCCACGTGGCTGTCAGTCTCTGTACCCCCTGCTCTTGTGACTTGTGCAGGGTGAAAGTCTCTGGAAGGAGGCCTAATGTGCCATAAACCCATAGTTCTCTCCTGAAATTCCACCCCTTCTTCTAGCCCTACATGTGGATGAAAGTCTTCAGACTTGAATGGTTCCTCAGCCACCTTTTTTTTTCTTTTCACAAACTCTTCAGGGTGGTCTGTTTCCAGATCACTTTGCTATCTTATATCTATCATCTCTATATTTCAGCCAAAAAATCCATTTTAGCCTCTGTCATATGTATGATCCCAAAGTCCATTCATCCTGCAGACATTCCCTGAACGCATATGATATACCAGATGCTGAGTTTGGCAGTGGGAATAATTATAATAATTCCTGCCTTAAGGAGCTCGTAGTCTAGTCGGGGAGGCTGATGTGCTAACAACAAATTGCAGTGCTGTGTCAGAAGTGCTGTGATAGATGGAAGCCCGACTGCTGTGGAAACGAGTCACTCAATCTAGGTGGGAGGCAGGCAGGGAATGAGTCAGAAGAAGTCTCCATGGAGTCCATGTGGGACCTAAGTTTTATGCTTAAGTCTGTACTTTCTCGAGAAACAAAATAAGCTCTTTTTTAATTCTTTGACATCGCTATTGCTGGTGTTAGATTCTCAGTAATGTATTTCAAAAAACAAGCAAAGGTAATGAGAAGAAAGAATACCCTGCCAACTTCACTGTTAGGTGGCAAGAGAAGTGCCTTCATGGGGTACCTGACACTTCCCCTGACGCCCCATGAGGCAGCCCTGGAGGGTCACCTCAAGTCTGAGGTGGAAGGACTGGACGACCAAGTGCGGTGTCCCCTCAGAGCATTTTATAATTAGAGGAGGAAAGAGGTGGAGAAGTGCCCCCTGGAAGTGCGCAGAGAAGACTCTGAGGGAAGAAACAAGGGCAAGAGGAGAGAATGAGTGACACAGTTGGTGATGGGAAGGCTGGGGCCACTTCAGCAAGACACAAGACAAGAAGATGTGGGTGGGGGTACAGAATGGGGGTGAGGCTTACTTTAAAGGTGTTGGAGCTTGGTCTATGAAGGAAAATGCCCTGACACATGTTGGGGTGAGCAGAATCCTTAAGATATCATTGTTTAAAGCAACTATAAACCAGAGACACGCTATGCGGGTGGGGGAGGGGAGAAGGGATTAGTGTCAAAATAAGGGGGTATGGGGGTTGTATGGGGACTAGAACCAAGATGAAAATGCATACATTGTGCAAAAATGAAAAATGATGTAAAGATATATAAAATTAAATAAAATTAAAAAATAAAAAAAGATAGCATTGTTTAGTGAAACAGCAGCAGCCTCGCCAAGACGAGCTTGGACTGCTTGCCCGTCACAAAACAGCCCCGACTGCCCCTCCCTTGTTTGTTTCCAATGCTTGCCTTTTCGCTATGGTTTTCTCTTTAATAACTTCCCTTCCTTACTAAAGACTACCATTTCTTTCTGTTGTCAGTATGCGTGCTGCTCTCAGCATCTCTGCTCTCCCAATCAGCACTTTAAAAGCTGTTGATTGCTAAGGAACCAGATAACTAGTTCAGAGTGTTCCTACCATCAAGAGTTGGTAGAGCAGCCTAACTAAATTGGAAATATGTGTAAGTGATTAGCAAATGAAATAGCTGTCAAGTTTTCCAAGCCTTGAATAACTACTGAAATGAAGTGATTCCACTTCCAGCATAGTCTTGGCCACATTCTGATTTGGTCATGGTCAATGTCTTTTCCATCCCCTGGTGGAATGGAAAGGGCCCTAGAGGAAAGGGCCCCTGCACGCTTCACTGCCATATTCTTTGTATACTGGATACTGTGCTTGGCACATAGAATGGGATCAATATATTTTGTTTATATATATATATATATATATATATATATATTAAGATTTTTTTATTTGTGCATGCAAGAACTGGGGTATAAGCCAGAGATGCAGGGTTGGGGGTGAGAGGATCCACCAGAGACAGAGTGGGGAGCAGAACAGGCAGATCTACTGAAATACACTGCTGAGGGGAACAGTGGGTGAGACAGGAGAGGTCTGCTGCACCATGTGGGTAGCTCCCTGGCCGGGATTGAACTGATGCCACAGTGGCTGCCAATAGCTTGATAGTGCTGAGAATTAACCCTTTGCGCCCAGGGAGGCCCAGGATCAATATATTTTATGAGAATTCCAGGTGCTGAGGTTAAGCAGCATATGAAAGCTCCTGCTCTCCCATACTTTATATTCTGGTTAGGAGAGGAGTGGAGAGGGCAGATATGAAACACATAAACCAGTAAATACAAGGCATGTCAGAAGAGAATTAGGGTGAAAATTATGATAGATATATATATCATAGTGGGGTGGCAAGGATGGTTGCAGGGGGACCCCTGAATATGTTTTAAAGATACCCAGGAGCTTTTACATTCTACTACATGGTAGCCAGCTTTGTACATTTTTTTCCTTCCCGCCTAGCATTTGCGTACATAGTGAGTAATTAAAAAAATACGTGGAATAAGAAGTTGTACATATGTCACTCCAGGGTGACTGCATCCTTAAAAATAAGACCAGTAGCTAGGGCCTGGTCTGAGCAGATTCATCATGCTATTACTTGCCACATCCCTAGTTGAACCTGTTGGATCCCAAAATTTGGGTTCATTCCTCTCCCCCTCACTTTCCACAGCCTTAACAACACTGGGAGATGGCCCCAGAAACCTAACCCTCTATGCATATAATGGAGCCAATATAGTCCGTGGTTAATCTGTATGCACACTCCAGATCACACTGTCTAGGCACCATAACCTCCTGTCAGCCCAGTTGCTCCATTGTCAAGGCAGAGTGTCCCAAAGTCAGATTCTAGAACTCAAGTCAATTAGACTCAGAGGTCTCACATCTGTACTCACAGTTTCAGAGACTGCTGGGGAAAAATCTGAAGATAAAATGATGAGGTCTTAAAGTATATATACAAAGCAGGGCCCATCAATTAAGTAGACAGTATGCTCAGTGGCTGATTATGTTGCCTTCTCGGCCCTCGTGTCCAATGAGAGGGGAAATAATTCCCTCTCCCTGCTCCCTGCCATCACTAGGGCTTTGCCTTCTGCTTATTTGCACCCCAGAGACCTCTACCTTAGCCATATATTAAGTATAAGCAGTTGGCTCATAGATAGGACTTTTAATATTTTAGTGTTTATTGAGTTTTATTCTTATTACCAGAGAAAATAAGTCAAAAATAATGGACTAACTGGATATCTTAAGAGGAAGTAGATTTTGATTAACATGTTCTTGCCTAGGACTAATTCACTTTGGTTGTTGATTTCCAACTCAGCTTTCTGTGTTCTGTTTTCTATTTGACAGGAGGCAATGGCAAGAATGAGCAAAGTTGGGAAAGTTGTATTTCCCAGACTTGAGGATAAAAGGTAAGTTTTTATTTGTTATATGCACAATGCTATGGCATGAGGACCAGTAAAGACAGGCAGTACACCACTGGAATAAACTGAAGACATCAGCTAATCTAGTCCTTTGATTTAATAGTTGATTAAACTAAACCCCAGAGAGGTAAAATCACTTGCAATTACCTACAATCTCAGCACTACTTAAGGCCATACCTGGCAGTCCCATGCAAACATCGGAACTCTCAGACCAATGTTCTTTTCTCTAGGTCCCTAGCAGCAAACCTGGTCTTCTCTGTTCTAAATAGGGATTTTTTTTAATTTCATCCATCAAAGGACATAGTAGCATCTGCCTGTTTTTCTACCCTTTGCATCATGTGGCATTGAGGGCTACAACATAACTTTATCAGTGTATTAACCCCAATACAAAAAAAAACCCCACTAATTTATTGAGTTCCTGCTATATTCAAGTCACTATGGCCATTAGTGTTCAGACAGGATTTAGAGGGGACTAAGACACACAATCTCATTTATACACATAGAGCATTTCAGAACAAAGGGGTATGTACTACACCAGATAACAAAGCAGCAAGGAAGGAGTGTTACTGTAGGGGTGAGCAAAAACTTTTGAAAGGAAGTGAGGTCTAGCTATTTTAAAATGTTTAAATTACCAGACAGGTCCAGTCAGGGTAGGACTGGAGAGGGAATAAGAATATGCAAAGTTACAAAGGTGGGAACAGTATGGTATGTTAGCGTAACTATAAACAACACATAATTCTGAAAAAGAGTATAAGATGGGAAATGGCAGGAAGTAGTAATGGAACTGGTGTCAGGGAGACTAAAGGGGTCATCTCCTAAGGAGCTTTGAGGCCTTGCTCAAGACCTCAGATTCATCCCGTAATCAGAATGGTGATGATAACTTTCAGGCAGTGGTGGGATCTGGGTAGATGCAGCTTTTAGAAAGATTCCCTCTTAGGGGATAAATTAGAGGGATTAAGGATGGAAGCAGAGAAAGAGCTGGAAGACTTTTTCACTCATCCAAGTTAAAGATGAAAAAGGACTGTACCTAGTCACTGATATATGGTTTAAAGACAAAGGACAGTAGCTTAAGGCCTTTTATAATTTTAGGAAAATATTTCAAGTCAAATTATTGCAAGTTCCATCTCATGTAATGAAGGCAAAGGTACTGATCCCACCGAAGCTTGACCCTATGTAACAATGTTAGCAATGTCCAGGAGAAAAAGAGACCCAATTGGCATGTTATCCCTTTAAATGTAAACCTGTGTCTAAATACCCAGGTCAGAGGAATCAGAACCCGCACACTGAAACATCTGAGTTCTCCACGTCAGTGGGAGCAGAGGGCCAGCACTTTTGTTGAAATTAGAAACATCTCCATCTCTTTACTGACCCTTCAAAAACTATCAAGGGAAGTCTGTTTTTAAGCTTTCAGTGGAAGCCGCCTTCATGGAGCAGGTTCACGTGGTGCTCTATCGCCATCTGCAGGCCACCTCTAGACTTGCAAGTAGAAAGAGCCAGTTTCCTTCTGAGCTGGGCTCATGTCTCCTCAATGCCTCAAATCATATTATCTACAGGGAACATTTACTTAGGTCTGTGAGAAACAGAAGCAACTGACTAGCATGGAGAAAATATGGATGAGAGGATTCAGTTGATTTTAAAATTCAGGTTCCTGGAGAGCTTGATCTAGTGACTGTTCTTTGATACGCATTTTAAGAAGATCCCATACCAAATTTATCCTTGAGAATATATAGAGAACTCCTAAAACTCAACAATAACAGCCTTACAGCACGAATCAAAGACTGGGCAAGGATCCTGAGTAGGCATTTCTCTGAAGAAGATATGCAAGCGGTCAAAAGCTGGGAAAAAATAGATGGGAACCTCATAATCATTAAGGAAATGCAAATCAAAACTACACTGAGATACTGTTGTAAGCCCATGGGATGGTTACTTATCAACAACCAGGAAATAACAAGTGTTACTAAGGATGTGGATAAATTGACTTCCTTTACACATATTTTACATAAGAGGGTGTGTAAGATGGTACAGCCATTGTGGAAAGTAGCGGGATAGTTCCTCAAATATTAAAAATAGAATTACCATATGGTCTAGAAATTCCACTTCTGGATGAACTGAAAGAACTGAAAGCGGAGTCTCAAGATATTTATACACCCATGTTTATTGGAGCACTATCTGCAGTAGCCAAAAACATGCAAGGAACCCAGGTGTCACTTGACAGATGACTAGATAAATAAAAAGTAGTATATATACAGGGCGGAATATTACTAAGTCTTAAAAAGGAAGGAAATTCTGACACAAGCTATAACGTGGTTGAATCTTAAAGATGTTATGCTAAGTGGAAAAGCCAACCACAAAAAGACAAATGTTGCATGATTCTACTTATATGAGGTACGTAGAACAATCAGATTCAGAGACAGAAAGTAGAAGGTGGTTTCCAGGGACTGGGAAAGGTGAGAGAATAGGGAATTAATGTTTAATGGGTACAGAGTTAGTTGTGCAAGATAAAAAGCTCTGCAGAAGGATAGTGGAGATGGCTGTGTGACAGTGTGAATGCACTTAATGCCGCTGAACTGTTGGCTTAAAAATGGCTACAGTGGTAAATTTCATGTTATATATATTTTACAGTGGTAAATTTCATGTTATATATATTTTAGCAAGATTGAAAGAAAACAGAGGAAAGTGCTTTGGACCTGTTTCCCATTTGTGAAAAGGGAAAGATATAATCTAGCCACTCTTGGTGTTCCAGATTAACATGATTAAAAAACAATAATTCACATTTGTAAGCACTAACAACTCATAGAGTATTTCATGTTTATTTTGTCAAAAATTCAGTCTATGATATAGTACAGCTTGTCACCCATTTTTATAGCAGGGAAACTGGGGCTTAAAAAATTTACACAGAGGCCCCAGGCTTCTCTGCCTGAAAAGTTGGTGCCTTTCCCATTGTACAGAGAATAAAGCCAGTGCTGCAAAGGTGTCAGTGTTAAAATTGGAAATCTTAAAGGATATGAAAAGGGGTAGTAACTCAGGGGTAGTAATTTCAAAACTAGCAGTTTTGAAATTCCAAGGTCAGGAAATCCGCCTCATCTAGTGGAAAGATAGCTTAGCATTATGTTGTCATAAAGGATCATTGGAACGAGGATCATCACTATGCTGAAAACCATTCTATAATTTTCAGTTAAATCAATTTGGAGGCTCAGAGTGTGGATTTTAGTATCACCTACATACAGCAAGATTGATCTAGAGTATTAATTAGTTCCTGGATTTTTTTTTTTTTAAGTAGTAACCATAACAAGCACCATAACAAGTAACCATCACTTACTAGAAGACAGGTACTATTCTAAATACTTTTCAATTCACATAAGAGACACAAATAAATTAAGTAATAGATCCAGGGTCACACAACAACGGGTCAATCTGAGATTCAAACCCAGGCTTCAGAGTCTACCTCTTAACCCTATGTTTGGCCCCATCATAGCTAATAAGTTGCCAAAATGCTTAAGGTTCAAATGGTGGGTGGAGGGAATCCTATGAATTCCTTTAACTCTTGCATGTTACTAGCAGAAGTCCCTGTGTTACTTCTTACAGTCTCTTTCACCCAATTCATGAGCTGGCATCAAAGCTCCCTCATGCAGTCTTCCTTTCGAAGTACCCCAGAATGTTTAAGACTTGCTAAACTGGCTTCATCAACTCTTCACCCCATGTTAGAAGAATAGGGATACAGCTGTAGTCTTCAAATTTAATTTGTCTTAGCTACTATTATTCCCTTGGGATTGGGCCGCGCTGCCCTCTAATTATGGCCAACACCAAACCAAACAGCTCTCCCTGCAGGTTCAGCTGTAGAGTAGAGGAGAGCAAGGCTGGGCACCGCTACAGGAAAGGCCTGAGCCACATGTTCATGGGGTTTTACTCCCAGAGGCCGTTGTCTATGAAGAAAAGGTAGTGTAGAATATACGAAAGTTAATTAAAACACTTGTGCTTATTGCTGGTCAAGCTGTGGTTTTAAACCACTTATCAAACCTGCAACTGGTCACACATGAAGCTTTTGTTGAAGACAGGAATATGAAAGGTTCTGGGGTGAGCCTGGGTCCTCCAGTTCATTGCAGCAGAGGCTTTGGAGTCAGACAGACCTGAATTTGAATTCCAGCTCTGCCCAGTTTTAACTATACTACTTTAGATGTGACTCTCTACATAAATGTCTTTACCTCTAAAATAGAAATATAGACAGACCTTGATTTATAATGATGCACACCTGAAACTTATGTAATGTTGCAATACAGTGTTATTTATTGTAAGATTCCTAACAGTTACGTGGACACTCTTCTCAGCACAGTGTATTTCACCAGGTGGAACTAGTATCCAGAGTATAAATGGTGTTTGATGCAGAAAAAAATAAAATGCAGATGTAGGTTAAAGAAAATGGGATAAAACACACTGATCCATTGCTTGGGATGCCAGAAAATGGGAGGTGTCAGTAAACCCATAACAGACAAATTCCTGTTCTTCTAAATATAAGGGGAGTCTACATAACAGTTTTATCTTGAGATCATTCAGCACATTCATCTTTGTCCCACAGATACTATGACAAGAAATACCAAGTGTTCCTGAAGCTGGTTGAACATCAGAAGGAATATGCAGCCATCATGAAAGGTGACTGAACAGTGCTAGAAGGTTCTGGGTCATTGCCCCAAGGACTTTGTCATTTCATCTTATATTCAAGACATTCCTGTATTGTCTTTTAATAAAGGAAACCAAGACATATTCAGCCAGAAATAGAGTCTTCCATTTCACAAGACCAATCTTAGTTTGGTGGATTTGTGGAACACGATCATGGAGACAGAAATTTCGCAGAGGCCATGGGCTCTCCTATGGGACTAAACCTTGGGCTGATTCAAGATCACATGGGATGATGCATGGGAAATTTGATCATTAATTCAATTTCAGCCATTAAATGAATGACTTAACATTGCTTTAGGTATATTCTGTAGGTGACTATAAGCTTGCTATTAACCTATTATTTGTAAATAATTTCAAACTTAGAGAAAAGTTGTGGGCATAGGAATATCACAAGAAACAGTCACATACCTCATTTGTACCTTTTAATATTTATATCATTTGCTTCATCATTTGTATATTCCCTCAAGATATATATGTAACTATGCATAGACACATACATACACAATGTACATACATACTCACACATCAGACCCAAGAACAACTGCTAATGTTGATTCTTGAGCTGCCATGGCTCAGATGAGTTTAAATTGAGGACAAGTCAGCAGATAGAAAAGAAAAATTCAATATAATTCAGTCAACAAACACTTTTGATATGCACACACGCACATTTCTGATTCATTTGAGAGAAAATTTTAGGAGACTTTAATATAGTACTTTAATTTGGCATTTATATTCATAGTCAATTTGTGAATAATTCAATAATGTTTTATGGCATTTTCCCCCATACAGGATTCAGCTGGAATCAGATATTGCATTTAATTAATTGCAGAATCGTCATCTTGCAATCATCATAGTGAAGATAGGTAGAAGCAGGAATCATCAATGAATATGAGAGCATTTTGATGAGTAACAGAATGATACATGGTCTTAAAATGTCTCCTCACAGATTGTTTATTAATTTCAGGAGGAAAAAAAGAATGTTAACTGTACAGGGAAGAAATAGGACATCCTGGTTGGGTGATCAGAATCAAGTTCAATGGGCAGATGTTCCTGGAGTTCCAGCAGATGTGGTAGCCTGGGAAAGACACAGCATCACCCGGTAGGGACTGCACAGCCTAGATCTAAGCATAAGGAAACATTAGACAAATGCAGAATAGTCAGCATTCTATTTAATAGACTCTATTCTTCAAAAATGTCTGTCAAAGATAGAGAAAGGCTATGGAAATTTTCCAGATTAAAGAAATATGGTGGCTTAAAGCTTTGGATGTAGACAAGTGTTTAAAAGGAAGAGCTATAGTTGATGCCATGATAAACACATACAAAGCCATGTGCATACTCACACACTCTTAACTCGGTCAACAAATGCTTTGGTCAGAATCAGAATCTCTGCTAGGTATGGTCCTAAGCACTGCGGGTAGAGCTGTGCATAAAATGTGGCCCCTGCCCACATAGAACCCCCAGTCTAATGAGAGATGGAGACAAGTAAACCCATCACAGTATACTGTGAGAGATGCAGTAAAACAAAGCACCTGCTGCCATGGAGTGCATCAAACAGTCAGAAAAGGGGAAATCAGTGGAGGTCAAAATGGGGATCTAAGGGCCAAAGCAATATAGTGTAATGACAATGAGCCCTTGGGGTCTGGGCCTGGCTTTTTCTCTTACTAGCTGTGTCACTTACAGAAACTTTACCAAACCTCAGCTTCCTTACTTTAAAAATGAAGTATTAATACACCTACTTCACAGGAATATAATGAGGATTAAATGAAATATGCATTATTTGCATATATTTTAAAACACTTAGCTCAGTTGCTTGGAACTTGTCTGTCTTTTTGCTGTCCATGGCACGAAGAAGATCCTCAGAATAATAGCAATAAATATTACTGAACAGGATAACCACACCAGTTGCAAAAGCATTCAGCAGTATCTAAAGGATATAGATACTGAGCATAGCATAGGATGGAGGTGGGTGTGGGTGTGCAACCCAGTAAGCTTAGCAGTAGGACTCCAGAAGCCCAGTTCATTCACCTCTCCCCCCAACCAGAGCTTGGGCTGGGGATAAGAAAGGCTGGGGAATCAGACTTAGCCTCTCAAAGAAATCAGAGACAACAAGATCTTGCAAAATGTCAGGACCAAAGTCAGACAGGCTTAGACTACAAAATCTGATCAGCACTGACTCAGAAATTTGAGCAGATGTGGGCCCGCTCCTGCAAAGCAGCAGCTGTCACATGAATGCATGGGTAGGAAACACAGAGGTAGCAGAATAAATAATAACCAAATATTTACCATGTCCTTCCTGTGTGTCTTTTCCAGTTACTACAGCGCTGCAAGGTAGGAAGCATTAACCTCACATTTCCGTTGAGAAATCAGAGGGTCAGAGAAGCTAACTAGCTTGCCCAGAGTTACTCAGGTGGTGAGAGAGACAGACTTCCAATCCACACCTATCTGAAGGGAAAGCTTTGGGCATCCCACCTTGAAACAGCTGAAGAAGAATTCTGCCCCCATCACCACCACCACCTGCTCTTTAGTTACAGTTACAGTGCTTGTGCTGTGAGGGGCCAGCCCTGGGTGCTGGTCATTCTCCCAGGCAACTTAGATGCAAGCCTAACTTGACCTTGGCCTTGTACTGCTTTATAGAAAAAGGAAAACACAGAGATGAGGCAAACAATGTGGGGACCTAGGAATTCTTGTGTGTCTCAGCAGTGAGGAGCAACCTGTGAGAAGGGCTGAGAGGCTTTGGACAAGTTACTTAGTCTCAAAGCCTTGGTCTCCACACCCCCTCCCCACCCCTGTTAATGGAATGATCTCCTTGCTTACTTGAAAGAATTGGTCACTACAAATATTGTTTCTACACTGTTCTCTTCATGCCACCTGGGAAAAGTGTTAGTCCCTAGAAAAGTAATTCTCATTCCTAAAACCAGTATTTTAGGAAAATGCCTGTGTAGATTTCTATAACCATGTGTAGTTTGATAATAAAAATTTTTAATGATTCCAATACTCACCTTCTTGCAGTGGGAAAGGAAGCTTTATTTAATGTACACACGCAAATTATAAGTATCGTTAGCTTTTATGAATAAGAATTACAGTGTGGCCAGGGCGGTTTGTGGGATTTTTGTTTAGTTGCCTTCTGAAAGTTTTTCTTTCAAGTTGAAGCCAACCTTGCTTAGCAAATCATTTTGCCAAGAAACACATTAAGGGTTTTTCGTTTTGACCAAAAATACTTCCCATATGTGGAAAACATAAATATGGTATTCCAAAGACTCTAAAAGAACAAAAATCAGGAGAGGCAAATAGAAAGACAAAGACAAGGATAACAGACTGGTGTGGCAATGACGCAGATGGTGGTCAACTTCAGGACCCAATGTCAGAGTCCAAAGAGGATCCTAGAAAGAATGCCCTCTCCTGGGGAGAACCACAGAGGGAGACTGGTTCTTAAAGTTAGAGCATAGCCTGGATTGTTGCCAGTTTTATTGGGGAGCAGGGAATAAAGGAGTATAAATTCCAATGGGAGCAGTAAAAATACTGTAGGACATGCTTACAAATTCCCAGTTTTGGGTAACAAGCTACAATTAAGGTTTTAACATTAATATGATCTTCTATTTCTTTCAGACCTGAGAATACTCAAGTTATTGGGATTATTATTTTCCCCTGCCGTTGGCCTATAAGCTCTTGGAGGGCACCCATTTTGATAGGGCCTGTGTTCTCTGCACCCAAACAGTTCCCGGCACATGTGCGTGTTCAAGGTGTGAATAAATAACACAAGACTTTCTTCTGCACAAAGAAGACTGGTAGAATTAAAAACATCTTTTTAAAAATCTCACTTGCAGGTCAATAATCTGACACAGGTGAATGTGCCTTAATTTAAGTAACATCAAGAACTTTAAAATGTGACATGGTCATGAAGGGTTAAAAAATCATGCCTTATACCTAAAGGCATGTTTTTAGATAGTTTTTAATTGCACAAACACACACACACACACACACACACACACCTATACACATGCAGCCTAGCCGCATGCCTCATTGTGGGTTGTACCTCAAGCCCTGAAATCTTTTGCCAATTTTCAGTGTCATTACAGACCATTTCCTGTATGATCTCTTATGGGAAACCAATTGTGTCTTAGTCCAGAAGTACCCATTGTTCATAAACCAAGACCTGCGGTACACATGCCTTCCAAATTCAAGGGCATAGTTACAAATAATTACCATCAAAGGATTTAAAATGAAGGACATCGTTGCTAAACAACAAACTAATGACTGAGTAGAGCTGTGTAATGTAATTATATTTAAGACTGGACTTCTAATGAATTACAGAAGAATCTTGGAGCTTTCTCCTGTTTCCAAAAAGGTACTTAGCTGCTTTTGACAGTAATAGGAGGGAGCCTTTAATATAAAAAGTCTTTTTTCCCTTACCCTGTTTTTTAGAGGGAGAACTTTAAAAGTACATTTCTTGAAATGATGTTGCTCCCAGTACTTCTGGATATTTGGCAATTGTATAAAATTCATAAAACAAGAACAACTTAAATAAAAGCAAAGAATATACTGCTAATAAATTCAGGTTTCTCAGTTTATTATCAACTCACCCATCACTCTTATAGTCAATTTCTATTCTGCATAAAAAATCATTTAAAATTACATATTAGAATAAATGCCTCTAAAGACCTAATTTTTATTTTCTATAAATGACACCTTAAGTGTTGAGTACAAGTGTTTCCATATTAAAATCTAGTGTGAGCCTGTCTCCCTGCTGTATAATCTTAACACATTTGAAATGGAAAATGTTTTATTTATTAATATCTGATGATAAGGCTGTCAATAATGATCACTTCCCTTTGCATGTTTATTTACAAATTTCCAGATTGATTGCAGATACATCATCTCAGCTGCTCTTCATAATAAATTGTGAGGGTCGCCCAACAAGGAGAGGCATCCCATTTTACAAATACACATGATTGTGTAGCTGGAACCTGGAGGCAGGATGGCTGCGCTGCTGCTGCTTAAATAAATACAATTCACTTATTTGCACAACAGAGGATAATTCATTCGTTTGCTAATTGCTCTCCCTCTGTGGTTCCTCTCTTTCATAGATGTGTAAATATCTAGGAGGCCCCTTCTAATGCTCTTTGTTTGGTCAAAGCACCTATAACTCTTCCGGAGAGTATAGTGGGAAAGTGAGAGACCTTGAGCCCTGGAGTCACTGAGCCCTGCCCCCAGATCTCAGCTTCACAGCTCACTACTCCACAGTCTCTGTGAACTCATGGAAGTCAGTTAA